GGAATTCAAAAATTGTTGGGTGGGAAAGTGTGTTTTTTAAAAATCGTCCAATCATATGTTGACATGTGACATAGTGCAAAAAAAATAATATCAAATAAAATGTATGCCCCTGTTTGCCCCCCATTAAATTAAATTTTTGGGGGGTAAATAATTTTTAGAATAGTGATTGATGGGAGATGTGTGGTTGAAAAGTTTTTGATTTGTGTGTATTATTATTTTATTTGATGAATGTATGGTTGAGATGAAGAGAGAGAAAAAATTAATGTAATGGAATGTAATATTAATGTATGGTTTAGATGAAGAGAGAGAAAAAATTAATGTAATGAAATGTAATATAATGGGGGCCAAACAGGGGATATATGTGGCATGATTTATATAAGAAATAGATCAATGTTTCTTTGAAGCTTTTGTTCGCACCCCACTATGGTATGATTACTGGATCGACTTTATGGACGATGAATATAAGAAGAATTATGTTAAATGTACATTTCATAGTATACACTTTTGTTGACATTGCGTAGGAATTCAAAAATTGTTGGGCGAGAAAGTGTGTTTTTTAAAAATCGTCCAATCATATGTTGACACGTGACATAGTGCAAAAAAATAATATCAAATAAAATGTATATGTAGCATGATTTATATAAGAAATAGATCAATGTTTATTGTAAGCTGTACTTACAAAAGGTTAATTTAAAATGTGTCATAATTTTATTAGAAATCGTGAAAGCGTCTCATTATGGTATAATATGCTATTTTTTAAGCACCACAACCGACCCCCCAATAGGGGTCTGCCATGTGTGCATTATGAATCCTATTATGGATCCCATAATGTACACATAACATATCTCCTACTTATAAATGTATTACTCAAAGGAAAAAGAACTAAAAAAAAGTATAATTGCTTATAATTTGGTTAAATTCAATTTTATCAACACATTTTCTAAAATTCACAATTGTTATCTACTTTTTAATTAGTCATTTTTTGCATTTATAATAAATTATAATTTTTGACAAACACACACTAAGAGTATGTTTAATTGCATTTTTTTAATGGAAAATGTTAGTTTTTCATCTAAATTCATATTTTGAAGTGTTTGATTGCTATTTTTTTCATGAAAAATATTTTTCAACTTTTAAAAATATGTCTATTTTTTTTTTTTTTTTAAGAAAAAT